GGCTCCTACATCCCCCCGAAAAAGGTGGAAGTGCAGACACAGCCGCTGGAGGAAGTCATCGAGATGGAGGCGTCCAGCTGAGCGTGGACTGAAGGGCCGAGCGGCTCCGTAAGAGCCTCTTTGTCCTCAGCTTTGTGAAAAAACCCCATGTCCCAGCGATCAAACACCCCGCTGCTCCCACAGCCCTCCTCGCCACAGCGCTAACGAGGAGAAGGAGCCAACGAGACCCTGGGTGCCCTCACTCTGTGTCCTCCTTCCCGGGGGAGGGACAAGCTGCTGCTTCCCAACACGCTGGCGTGACTGTACCCTCGTCTCTTTGGTTTTCAAGCAGTTTTAGGCCTCTCTCCTTGGGTCAGAGGTTGATCTTGGTGAGTCACCCATTAAAATATGTCAACCAACAAGCTGGTGGTGTTGGGAGCTTCTCTGTGAGTGTGACCCACTGGCTGGAGGGGACTTCTTGGTGTTGTGCTCTTCCCGATCATGCAATGGGAAATATTGCTGGGGTCTGTGCCAGCCCGGAGGAGCAGCCTCGTGTGGGTGCTCCTGCCCTGCCAGGGTGCTAAAGCTCCTTCTGCTTTGCCCCCCCAACTGGCAAGGGGGTTCCCAGCTGGCTGGTAGCAGATACGGGGCTGCTTTTTGGGTGGAATATGGGCTGGAGTGAACTCATCATGAAGCAGTTGGGTCTGTAGTGAGCAGCTCATCATCATGCTGGCCCTGCCTGTTTGAGCCTTGGAGGGGAGTGCTGGTGTCCCCCCCGCAGGGACACTTTTAGGCTCCTGTCCCCTAAAACCCACCACTTACAAGTGATGACATTTTCCGAGAGCACTGCGGCTGCGTGTGTGGCGTGATCAGCCTCCCCACCTCCCATCCACCAGCCTGATGTTGCTGTGATCCCACCCGTGACCCTGCCTAGGGTGACTGTGTGACAATGGCACCACCCGCTGCTGCGCAATTCCTGCAGAGCCGATCTGGGATCTCGCTGATGCAACCCTGGCAGCAAAACCCTCAGGCTGGAGATTGGTCCCACCGAACTGGGGACGTGGGGCAGGGCTGGAGCAGCAGAACGGCAGCGTGACAGCGCAGCTCTGCTCGGCAGGAAAGGGTTTATTTCCATGTAGCCAGCTCGGATTTATCCCCCCCGGCCTGGGGGAGATGGAAGCGACTAAATCCAGCTGTTAGACTAAATCCAGCTGTTAGCATCGCGCTCCGCTGCAGCTCTGCGCGGGCTCGGTGGGTGCGAGGAGGCTGGGAAGGTTGCAGACCCCATCCTGGTGGGATGTGACAGCCCCAGGGACACGTCACCGACCCTGTGGCCCCATGTCCCCCCTGCCCCATTGTTGCAGAGGCTGGCCTGGTCCG